AATCCCCTAGGCCTACGCCCAAGCTCGGTACTGTGGCAGCATTGGAGCTGTCAAAAAAAACAAAAACAAACAACAACAACAACAAAAAACAGTTCTGTCCACCGTACCCATCTGTTTCCTGTCATAACCTGCTCTCCCTGGATGTTGGAGTCTGGAAATCACCACACAAACCACTCAGACATCAGTCTCAGTCAAACAGGGATGATTTATTGAATGCCACATCCCAAGACTGATTGATCAGGGACATAGGTAAAACTTGGGGGCTGTCCCTGACCTTGAATCAAGATTGTATAGGGATTTTTAATCTACAAACATCTGTGTCATGTGACTTCACCAATCAGGATTTAGGGATAAGGGATTTCCTTAGGAACATGTCTTTGTTGTACACTTATCCTGTGCCCACTGGTTGGGGTATTCATCTGTGGCAGGGGACTTGCCTTGTCTAACATTCATGTCTTAACTTGTCAACCAGGATGTCAGTTACCCTGGTACATGTCTCTTTCTGCCAAGAAGGATGTCAGTTCCCAGGGAGGTCTTGGGAACTTAAACTTTACTCGACCCCTCCTCAAAATGGGAGTCTTATTCCAAATAGTTTCTTATATTGCTGCAGGTGTCTCTCTTATGTTGAGGCCATCCCAGGACCAGCTTATAAAAGCAACTACCATAAAAGCTTATATAGAGGTGCAGGAAGTACTGCTGGGTGGTTGGTTCCGTTCCAAGCTTATTATGGGTAACTACACAAAGTAGTTCGACTGACTTCTATTGTGATTGGTTTCCAAGGGCATAAAACATAACAGACTATGTAATCAATCTTGGCATTAGAAAGTTTCCTAGTAACAGCAGAAACAACATATGAGAAAGTTTTCTTATAATATCAGTAATAGCACAAAATGGGAGGCTAGCTAGGTAACAGTTACCTAGGCCTTAACATTCCATCTAGGCCTTGATAGTTTACCTAGGCCTTAACACTGGACAGACAAAGAATCCTGTTCTTGTACCACATCATTCTGTGGGGCTGGTACCTGCCATATTTCTTGCAGAAAGCCCATTGGGTCTTAGGAACTTTTGTCATGTTCAAGGGAGTGACAGGCACAGAAGGGTATTTACTTATTTTTAAAGGTTTGTTTTTAAGACTATATGTATAAGCAGGGCAGTAGTGGTGCACACCTTTAGTCTTTTAATTGCAGCACTAGGAAGGCTGAGGCAAGTGGATCTCTGTGAGTTTAAGGCCAACTTGTTCTACAATGCTAGTTCTAGGACAGCCATGGCTACACATAGAAACCCTGTCCAGAAAAAAACAAAGCAAACAAAATAGAACAAAACAAAAAAGCTATGTACATATGTATGTATGTATGTATGTATGTATGTATGTATGTATGTATATGGAGGGGTGCATATGAGCACAGTGCCTGTGGAGGCCAATTGAGTCCCTTAGAGCTGGGGTTACAGTTGGAAGTTGTCTTATGTGTGTGACAGGGACCAAATTCCAGTCGTCTGCACACATGGTATCTGGTCTGAACTGCTGAGCCAACCTGCAGTCCCTATTTGTTTATTTTTAGAAGCAAGTCTCATTCCAGGCTGCCTAGAACTATTTACTTGAGGATAGCCTTGAACTTGTGACTCTTCTGCCTCTACTTCCCAAAATCTGGGATTACAGCTCAGAGGTATACACCACAGCACCTTAGGGGAGCAGCTGAAGTCCTGAGTGGATGTGTACTGTTAGCATGAGCATGGGCGATCAAGGACCCCACACCTCAGACTCATGGGAACGGCAATGCCTTCTCTCCATCCAAGTACAGATGGTGACAAATGGCAGCCTTTAGCTAAAGCCAGTGTGTGCAGAAACTATTGGCTGCAGCTTTAAGGACCTGGACGTTGACATTTACTCAGTACTTACCAACCGTAGCTTCCTCCTCAAAGATGACTTCAGCCTGAGATTGCTCCCCTGCAGGTCACCAGCCTTTTGATATTTCCAGGCTTCTCTGTCATAGCACACTCCCAGCTTTGTGTCTTGCAGTTTGTGGCAATATCTAGCTTATGTAGTGCTGGGGCTCAAATCAGAGTCTTGTCCATGCTAAGCAGTCTACCAACTGAACCACAGTGTAAGATCCTGTTTTGCATTTTGAGACTGGGTCTTTGTAGTCCAGGCTGGCTCACTCTGTAGCCTAAGCTGGCCCCCAAAACTCCCAGAGGCTCAACTGTGTCATCTCCCAGGTGATACAGAATTACAGTCATGAGTGAATTACCATGTCTAGCTTTATTTTTAATTTATTTGTTATTTGTTTATTTTTATAGTAACCTTGGACCACACATGTGTTATGCAAGTACCCTACCACTGAGCTACACCTGCAGGCTTTTTAAGTGTATATTTTAAATAAAAGCCAGGTGTGATGGCACAGGCCTACAGTCGAAGACCTCAGGAGCTGGAGGCAGGAGAGCAAGAAGTTCAGGTGTATCCTTGGCTACAGAGCAAGTTCAAGGCAGTTGAGCTATATGACAGTACTGGAATACACATAAAATAAATATTTTTAAAAATTACACATATAGCCGGGCGGTGGTGGCACACACCTTTAATCCCAGCACTTGGGAAGCAGAGGCAGGCAGATTTCTGAGTTCGAGGCCAGCCTGGTCTACAGAGTGAGTTCCAGGACAGCCAGGACTACACAGAGAAACCCTGTCTCGAAAAAACAAAAACAAACAAACAAACAAAAAAACAAAACAAAAACAAAAAAAATTTAAAAATTACACATATAAAGCCTTTTTTATTAACTATTTTTCCCTAGTTGCTACAAGCGTTTTTCTGTAATACCTAAAGAATTAATAAAGAAAATAAACGTGTATTCAAATATTAATTTTGCGTGTGTGTGTGTGTGTGTGTGCGTGCCCTCAAATGTCAAAAGAGCAGTTGGTCTCCTGGGACTGGAGCTACAGAGAGTGTAAGCCACTACACTGGTGCACATCTGGGTGCAGGGAATCAGATCCACATCCTCTGGAAGAGCAAGCGGTACTCTGTATGTCATCTTAAAAAAGATTTCACCCTGTGATGGCTCAGTGCGTAAAGTCACTTGCTACCAGACCTGACAACATAGATTTGATCACTGGGGCCCACATAGCGGAGAGACCTGATTCTGCAAGCTGTCCTCTGACCTCCATACCCACAGACACACACAGAAATAACATTTTCATTTGTTTGTTTGCTTGTTTGTTTGAGTCAGTGTTTCTCTGTGTAAGGACTCCTAGCTGTCCTAGACTTACTTTTTAGACCAGGCTGGTCTCAAACTCAGAAAGATCTTCCTGCCTCTGCCTCCCGAGTGTTGGGATTAAAGATGTGGACTACCACACCCCGTAATTTTTTTTAATTTTTTTTTTTAAATTTCTCCCAAGGATGGTGAACGGGCTCAGAGGGTAAAGGCTTTTGCTGCCAAGACTGAAAGACCAGAGTTCCCCAGGTCCAGCATGAGGGCAGGTGTTGACCTACGGAAATGCAACAGTGTATCCCTCCTAATCTCACCATGGCAACAGTGTAACTGTATCATTACAGCACTTGAAACAATTCGTAATTGTGTTTTCCTCTTATACAAATACAATCAAGAAGCCACTGTGTGAACCTAGGGAAAAGCAGAATTAACGAACAGGTGGGGAACAGAGCTCACATACAGACTTGGAAGGGAACATCTGAAAAAGAGGAAAATAAGCAAGGCGATTTCTCACTAAATAGAGCACATATCCCCGACAAACATTAATATAAACATCTCTAAACCTGGGGCTGGAGAAATGGCTACAGAGGAAAGGGCACTAGCTGCTCCTTCAGATGAGTCAGATTCCACTCCCAGCACCCACCTGTAACTCCAGTCCCAGGAGATCCAATGCCCTCTTCTGGCCTCTCTGAACATATATATATAGGTACATGGTACATGCAGGTAAAAACACTCATACACATAAAATTAATTACACAAAAAACAAAAACAAACAAACAAACAAACAAAACCTTGTCCTCTAGTGTCTGGGCTATATTCCATTTGACTTCCAAGGTTTGTTCCCACTGTTCCCTCTGGCCACACTAAACCATGTTTTCCTAGACTCCTGACCCTGTCCAATTACTTCCTGCATGGCAAGAAAACTGAACAAGAAGGTGTGACTTAGTTGATTCTTTCTGGAGGGAAGGGGTGCAGGGAGGAGGTTGGAGGTTGATTTATTGAGACACGGTTTCATGTAACCCAAGCTGGCCTCAAACTTGCTATGTAGCCAAGACAGGTCTAGTGGCTTGATCTTCCTGCCTCCACTCCCCCATTGATGGGCTCACATCCAATGTAAAGTATTTTACTCCTATTCATATTTATTTCTTTGTGGCAGCCGGGCGGTGGTGGCGCATGCCTTTAATCCCAGAACTTGGGAGGCAGAGGCAGGCGGATTTCTGAGTTCGAGGATAGCCTTGTCTACAGAGTGAGTTCCAGGACAGCCAAGGATACACAGAGAAACCCTGTCTCGGAAAAAAAGGAAAACAAAACAAACAAACAAAAAAAGTCTTTGTGGCTTAGGCTGGCCTCGAACTTCCTAGTCATTTACCCAAGGAAAACCTTGATCCCCCATCCTTCCAACCTGTCTCACAAGTGTTGGGATTACAGGGGTACACCTACACTCTGGTTGGAACTAAACTCTGATATTCTAAATTCTGTGATGTTAGACAGTTTTCTGGAGACAACACCTGTAACTCACTAAGACGTCCAAGGCTTTGGCTATTCGAGAAAAAGAACTTTTGCTTTTAAACCAAGTTCTTCTGGAACTGGCTGGCAAGCTCAGCAGGCCTGGGATGGGCCTCCCACGTCCCCTTTCCCCCCACCACACTTCCCTACACCCCGACCTCGACAATGTGGTCATCCAAGGCGCGGCGTCCAGCAGGGGTCGCTGTGACGGCGCCACCGTGCTCGGATGCGCTGGGGTCCACTCTCTCTGCGTGGGCTTGGGCGGAAGGGGCGGGGCAGGCTCGGCGGTGGCTCCCGCCTGCGGTCGGCGCGGTCCGGGGAGGGACCAGCGGACTGCGCAGGTGAGTGCGCCCCTACTGGCCCGCCGGCTCAGCCCCTCGCTGGGTGATTTGCCCTCGGCTGGCTTCTGCCCTGCAGCGCTCCGGCTGAATCTGCGAGCGCGTCCGGTTCCGCAAAGCCGGGCTTGCCTCGGGACGCCTCTCGAACCCCGGGGCCGTGGGAATTGAGCTGGCCCAGGCTGTGCGTCCCGGGGCTTGGGTGCATCTAGGTGCAGACACTGACTCGGGGCTGGGCGGCGTGGAAGTGTCCAGTTTCCTTTGACCTTGGGGGACCTGGGGAGGTTCGGGATGGAAGGGCTCTGGGGGAACCCGATCTTGTCTAGAAGTCCGCTTCCGACATCCGCAGAAGGGAAAGGTTTCATAGCTGTAGACCTAGCAACCATCTGGAGGCCAGGCCCGCGTCTTACCGAGCGGCGACACGCTGAGGAACGTGGATCCACTCCCAGTCTAGTGCGGGTCAAGGGCAGCTTTGCCTTTGCCTAAATACTGCTCTTCTGGCAGTCTCAGCCTTCATTAGCAGAGCCTTATAAAAATCTCACCCGAAACAAACCTTACGGGCTTTCTTGTGCAAACTGCCGCCAAGAAGATTTTGTAATATGGACTCCTGCCCGGTTGCTTTCCTACTAAAACTCTCTCCATATCTCTTGTGCTGCCTGGGTCATCTCCAAACTTAGATATATAAGACTTCCGGAGATCTAGTGGCAGTCCAGATACTTTGTTCTTTTCTGAGCTCATTCTTAATGCAGCAGTCCTCCGGTCGTACCGTCAGTCTACAAGGTTTTTGTTTGTTTGTTTTGTTTATTTTTTTTAAAAAGAGACTGTCTCGTTGTGGCTGGCATGTTACTCACTTGTATAGTGGAAGATATCCTTGAACACCTGAGCTCCTGCCTCTTTCCCAGATGCTTGAATCATAGAATTTAATTACCAGGGACTATTTCTGTGCACGTGAGATAAATAAGACAGGGATGGAGAAGTCTAATCTTGTGGAGTGTCTGCACATGCAGACACCATCCGGTAAATTACCGGGCAGCCTGGGATTAGCCATGGGGCGGGGGGGGCCCCCCCCCCGCGAGAAGTGTGGTAAAGGGGACTGGTTGGCCAGGTGGAGTAGAGTTGGAATGGGTAGGCCCGACCTAGGGGATGTTAGAGTCTAGACCTGAAGGTAAGTTTCCATGCAGATACCTAGGTGAGAGTGTTCTAGGCCTGTCTGGAACAAAGGTCCCTGGTTTGGCCAGAATGTGTCTCCCAAGTTTCATGTGTTGAGGAATTTGGTGTAGTACCTTTAGGGAGAGCAGGGTCATGAAGGTTCTTCCTGATGATCATCAGATGAATCTGTTCAGGGATTAGTGGTTATCAAGGGAGTACGTGGCTTTGTTATGAAAACAAGCTCTCTCTGGCATGCTTACTGTGTCTCCTTGTGATGCAGCAAGAATCCTTTCACAGCTTCTAAAGCCGGCAGGAGAGAAGGGTAGTTTGTTTGGGGGGGGGGGGGGACAAGGGAGTTAGATGCAGTTGACTTGAATTTCCCAGTCTAGAGTCATGAGATAAATAAACCTCTATCCTTGATGATTGTCCCAGCTGGAATTCAGTTGTAGCCATGGGAACCATGCTAAGATAGTCCCTTGTGTGTGAGGACCATGAAGACCAGTGTCAGTGTGGCAGGGGCTGAAGCTGACCAAGACAGACAGCCATTTCTCATCGTTCAGGTTGTGTTTAGTTTGGATTTTGTATGAGGGGGTGTGGTGTAACTGTCTCATTTAGGGCTGAGCATTTAACAGGCCCTTAAATCCCCACACTTTAATGAGTTTATACTTTAACTGGTGCCCACTGCAAAAAGAAGCTTTCTGACTAATTTCCGGGTATATATGTAAGTATATACTTTGACACCATATTTGTGTAGCAAAACAACAGGTTTCCCCCAGGACCTTCCTAGCCGTGGGCTTTTGGACCAGGTTAACAGGAACACCTTTCTTAGTTCTCCTGATTTTGAAACAGGATCTCATGAAGTTACCCAGGCCGGCCCTGGCCACACTGTGGGCTAAGCAGCCGTCTAACTTCACGTCATCCTGGCCCACCAGCCCCAGAAGTGTGCTTTTCTTTTGAGTGCTCTGGAGGAGCTGGTTTATAGTCTTGCCTGGTGGTTCACGCCGGCCTGAATTTTTACCATGCCAAGCCTGAAGTCTGTCCACTCCCTGAAAAAAGCCAGATGTGTGGTGTGAGTATGCAGCTCTAGTACTCTGTTGCCAAGATGAGTGACAGAGACAAGAACTAGCCTAGAATACATAGTGTGGAGGAAATGAGTACCCTTGACTCAAAAGACTCCTGACTCCTGAGAGTTGCTCTCTGCCCTCCATCTGCAATGCTGTGTATGCCTGCACCCTGACCTGTACACACCATATACACAAACAACAGTAGTTGACATGAATAAAGAAACTGTCCAGGAGTGAATACCTGTAGTCTCCAGTCACTTGGGAGGCAAAAGAGTTTCAGGGCAGCCTAGAGAATTTGAGCTACCTGAGACCCTGTCTCAAAGCAAGATGGTGGACCGTCATGAGAAGCTGGACGTAGCATGGCAAGCTTGTGATCCCAGCATGTGGGAGCCCCCGGGAGGAGGGCTATATAATAAAGCCTTGCCTTGAAAAATAAAGGAAAACCACTAGCTTCTGTTTTGAGTCACCAGACAGATGGTGTTACATTGACTGAGATGAAGAAGGCTCCAGGTTCAGCAGGTCTGACATCAAGAGTTTGGTTCTGGGTATGGTCGTGTCAGACACTTAGTTAGACATTGTGTCTGTAGGCCTCAGCATATAGCCATACCTGCAAATATGATTTATTACAACATGAATTTATAAAACGAAGTAAGGAAAAGGGAGAGACATGAGATAAAGAAGGAAACCAGGCCTGGTATGATCTGCAAGTCTGCCTTGGCATCGTGCAGGACGTGTGTGATTCCTCCACTACTTACTGCAGGCTTCCGGGAGGAAAGCTAGGTGTTCAGCGTGGGTCAGACCACAGTTTCAGTATAGCAGGTTTGGAGAATGTGGTGAACTCTGCTGACGTCCAGTGTCACAGACACTAGTCAGCACAGGCTTGGGAGCAGGCCTTTCTACACACAGCAATCATGGGTCCTCTGTGCTAACTCTGCCCAGGTGTACAGGTATAGTAATCCATACCTGTGGCCGGGCGGTGGTGGCGCACGCCTTTAATCCCAGCACTTGGGAGGCAGAGGCAGGCGGATTTCTGAGTTCGACAATTCGAGGCTAGCCTGGTCTACAGAGTGAGTTCTAGGACAGCCAGGGCTACACAGAGAAACCCTGTCTCGAAAAAACAAACAAACAAAAATTGTGTGTGTGTGTGTGTCAGAGACAGAGAGATGGAAGCTAGGTGAGGTCGTTAGACTGCTATCACTCCATCGCTGTCTACCTCGTTGCCTTGAGACTGGTCTCTCACTGGACCTGAAGCTCACCATCATCACTAGGCTGGCTGGCTGGTTAGTGAGCTCTGCCCATGTCTGCTTCTCAAAGCTTGGATCGTAGGCATGCACAGCGGTGCCCAGTCTATTACATGGGAGTCGAGTTCGGACTCATGTTCTTGTTTGCAGAGCAAGCACCGTTGTTAGCACTGAGTCATCTCCCCAGCATCCTATTTTCTTCAAATGGGATGTAACTACCCAACATTCACTGCTTTGATTTAAGAGGGGCTCAGGAATCTGGTCAGTCACATTTCCAGATACCTGACTTCCTACTCAGGGCTCTCCCCACCAGTTCTGCATCCTCATGTTGCTCCCTGGGGGCCCGTTCTCTGCTGCCATCTACAAATGGGCACCATCTCTGGCAAAAACTAGACTAATGCTTTCCCTCAATTGTACGGTGTTTATACATTTCTATCTAGACTTCCGTTGTTTGGGATGTTTGTTGGGAGGTGAAGGAAATGAGGAAGAGGGAGTGAGTAGCTAACAAAGGTAACATTTGGCTTAATACTCTGAAATATTTGTTACATATACACATGAACATGATTTAAGTTGATATCTTCAGCTAGCTAGGTTTCCTAGTACAGGTAAATCTGCTTCCGCCTGTGGATGGATAAGATGCCTGTTCAGTGGATAAGAACACTGGCTGCTCTTTCAGAGGACCTGGGTTCAATTCCCAGCACCTACATGGTGGCTCACAATACCAGGAACAACCCCTTGTGGCCTCTATGGGCACTTCACATACACGGGGCACAGATACACAGGCAGATGGCATCCACAGAGGTAAAATCAAAGTGAGCAGACCTTTACAAATGCCGCCAGTGATGGGCACAGAAACACCTCCAGACATCCCGGAAAGAGCGGCATGCCGCGGGGCGGGGCTTGAACACCGACCCCTTTATGTTGTGTTGTACACACACGAGGGGAGAGGCCAGGGACAGTGTGCGGGCCAGCTCTCTCCCACCACATGGTTCTGGGGATTGAACTCTGGCTGTCAGGCCAGGTTGGTGACAGTACCCTTAACTGCTGAGCCGTCTGCACTGGCAATGTCTGTTGGGGACTTCTCAGATGCTGAGGCCGTTCCTCCTGGTCCCGTGCCTTTTCAGCTCTCTGCTCTCAGCGGCATCTCCATGGGCTCAGCGCCTCAAGCTCCTGGTGCAGCACAGAAAACACACAGCTTGCTGGTCCTTGTATTCTGCAGTGCTGGGACCAGACAGGGCCTTGTACATGCTCGGCAAACAGTCACAACTGGGCTACACTCCCAGCGTAGCAATACACTATTTTCTTTCTTTATCCTAACTCTACAAAATTAAAATTTGGGGGGCAGGGTAGGTATCTATTAAATGGGAATACATTGGACTACTGTCTCTTGCCAGAGGTGTGCCTGTGCTTATATAATCTCAGCACTTTGAAGCTGAGGCAAAAGGATCCCTTGTCATCACAAGTCTGGTCCACGTAGTGACTTCCAGACCAATCTTCGATTTAGTATGAGAGCCGTCTCAAAATCCAAAACAAGCTGTGATAGATGGTTCAGTGGTTAAGAACACTTGTTGAGGACAGGTGTGGTAGCCCACGCCTTTAAATCTCAGCACTTGCGAAGCAGAGGCAAGCAGATCTCTGTGAGTTCAAGGCCACCCTGGTCTCCTAAATGAGTTCTGGGATAGACAGAGCTATACAGAGAAACTCTGTCTCAAAAAACCAAAACAACAATAAAAAGATCACTTGTTGCTCCTACAGAGTCTCGGTTCGATTCCCAGAACACACAGGATGGCTCACAGTCATCTTGGTTCCAATTCCTGGGCTGCAACACCTTTCTGATGGCCACCAGTACCAGGCATGCAGTGGGTGCACAGGCACATGCACAGACAAAACAGATGCATAAAGTCATATATGTTTTTTCTTTTTAACTTTTTTCTTTTTATCTTTTTCTCTATTTTTCCTTTATTAAGGGGCTGGAATGTTGGCTCAGTGGTTAAGAACACTTTGATCTTGCAGAGGACCAGGGTTGGGTTTCCAGCATGCACATGATAGTTCACAGCCATCTGTAACTGCAGTTCCAGGAGACCCAGCATCCTCTTCTGACTCCTGGGGGCACCGGGCATACACATGGTACATATTCATATGTGCAGGCAAAACATTCATACACATAAAATAAGTAAAGCTAGAAAAAGAAAATTTCAAAAAAGAAAACCCTACAGGCTTTGCTTAGCTGTTCCTTTGACAGTACATAACAAAAAACCAAAAGCCCCATGAGCCCTGAAATTCTTGTCATTTAGGATTTAGGGGAGTTCTAAGGATAGAGGACACAGAGCTGAGCCTGTGCTGTTTGCTTATTTTACCCTCTAAAGATTAACCAGAAGTTAGAAGGAGTAGCTACCTGTGTGGGTTCTGTGAGCTACACAGACATCGCTATCAGCCTTGTAATTAATGGAAATTAGGAAGGAAAATCATGAGGCTCGTCAAAGAAATAAAGGAAGTGAGTCTCAGGCCCCAAATATGAGGAGAATGCTGATGAGTCTGTCAGGATGTATGTGTGTATGTATGTATGTATGTATGTATGTATTTAAGCTTCTGGCATCCTTTCTCTTATTAGCAAATCATGGTATTTAAAACCATCTTGGCCTGATGTGGTTCCCACGTCTTTCATCTCAGCCCTCAGAAGGCAGAGGTAGGTGGAGCTCTGAATCTGAGGCCAGTTTGGTCTATGTAGTGAGTTCCAGGACAACCAGGGCTAAGTAGAGAGGCCCTGTCTCAGATGATAGACGGATAGATAGATAGATAGATAGATAGATAGATAGATAGATAGATAGATAGAT